GCTAGATCATGGAAAAGCGACTGTGATGATGGCAGTAAGAGGAAGAGAGAGAGGCGTCGAGGATGCCCGAATAAAATGTGTGTCTGCCCTTTGGTATTTGGAAAGCCTTTGCCGCAGAGATTTGAGGCAGTCGGACCCGGCGCCTAATCGAGACACACGTGGCCTGAGTCAGTGGCGGTGCGAATTTGAAGCGGACGGCAAAGCAAACAAAGAAAAATGGACAAAAGCGCAGTGCAAAATACAGCAGACAGCAGTTGCAGGACCTGGTAGGAGGAAAAGGGCAGGGAGGCAGGCAATGCAGCTTGGGAGTGCGTTGACGCCGGGCACCTTCGTTTCCCAGTATAAACCCATAACTCCGACATCGCCATGCTCCTCCTGGCCTGGCAGAGTCTGGCAAGACGCGGCTGAGTACAAGCTGAGTAACCCTCCGAACGGCTGATTTGCAAGACAAATGCCGGATTACACAGTCGCACATTCTCTACACTCCTCTGCCTACTATCCGTGGATCATAGCATTGATGACCAGTAATACACCGAAAAGTACGCTGTATGCAACTCGAGTCGAAATCCTGGATTCTTTACGGCCGCCGATTCGTCCGTCACGGCTAGCCGTGCAATCCTTGGCGCCTGATGCTCTTCCAGTGCGTTCTTGACGCCCGTGTTCATCCACGCCTTCTACGGCCTGTGTTCAACACGGTGCAATGCTCAGGACATAGGGGTATAGCCGCTCACCGGGTGAAGGATATGCCTACTCGGCGCACAGGTGATCACACTTGGGATTATACGTGGGTGCAGGTGATTTATTCCATGGTGCACAGTAGAGTTACAGAGGGCCCCACCGCCACTGTCCAGAGCAGTGCACGTTGGGAGCTGCACTGGGGGACAGCCTCTCAACCTCCTACAATTGACGATCAGTCACATAACTACCCAAATCGAGGGAAACGAGCTCACGAGGCGCCCATCCCATGGCGTAAAACGCTTCTCGCGCGGCAGCCTCTTTAGAAACTTGCTTACTCTTCCCGACACCTTGCCCCATAGATATTCCGTTCACTAACGGGACGGAAAATAATAAAACGGAGGAGCACGGATCAAAAAAATGGTTATCACAATTGCCGCATGTGCGCGAGAGTCAAAGCTGAGGACAGGGGACTTACCGACGCACTGCACGACCCATTGGCCGGAATGTGGTGATCCCTGGAATGTCGCGGGATATTCAACCGAGACGCGCCGTTGCGCAGCGGCTTGATTAAATCGGGGGAGAAAGGGGGCATTCGGTTCTGCAGGGGCGAGGGGATTAGAAAGTGGCGGTGGGAGTGGCGGAGGAGGCAATCTAGGAGGTGGTGGCGGTCCTGGAGGCGGGGGGCCGGGAGGCGGTGGCGGCCCAGGTGGAGGCGGCTGGTAGAACGTAGGCACCGTTTTCGAACTGGATGGAAATGCGCTCTGAAAATTCTGGTAAGTTATATCTGCTTTGGCCTTTTTTCGAGGGAAGACGTCTTGTGGCGGAGGTGGGGGTTTGGCCTTCACGTCGATGATGGGCACGTAATTTGGGTCCACGAGTTTACCGATCCAATTTCGCAGTCCGTGGTACCCGTCTTGGATTACTACGGCTCCGGCATACGCATGAAGCACAGATGGCGCTTCCTTCGGGAAATGAATGTGCGAGTTAGTGCTATGATCGTAGTAGTTGTCTGGCCGAACGACGTACTGCAGCCAAATCTATGGGTGCCGAACGCGAGTATCGCAACTTTTGCATCAGACGGTACCGGTTCGACCATGCGTCCATATTGTTGTCCCATAGCAGGATCTCCCTCTCACTCTGCCGCCCCATTAACCGTGAGCCACACCAGTACACATTGACGTTGTGTAGAGTATTCGACGCACCACAAGCTCCGCATACTTTATCGTCGGAGTCCGCGCAAACAAGACATCCGTGATCACCGCTTCCAAAGTTGTCCGGCCCAGCTCCGCAAGACGCTGGTTGTCGGAGTAGTCCTTGGTCGGCGCGCCACCCCGGCTGAGAGATCGGTGCGTGAAGACCTCGAGCGCAAGGTCGCCAGTTAGAGATGGAAGTGCGGGGAGAGCGGGATCGGACTGCGTATCGCTGCTTTTTTCGTGTGGGACGAATGCCGACGGCGAATTGGGGCTCGAGTAGACGTCTCCTTGAAAGTGGTCGGAGTGCGAGCGTTTCATGATATCTCGGAGGTGCTATCGCACCCAAATCCCTGGACAAATAGATGAAGATAGGGTAAAATCAGATAGACGTAGCAATGCTGAAAGTCTTGGTGGCTTGGTCCAACTTAGTCGCGCAGTATTTATCTTGGAGAGATGGGAGTCAGTGGTAAAGCGCTGCAGGTTCAAAGCACTCATTGTCCAGCTATTTTCGGCAATCGCCGGCCCCGAGCCGCACGTGGCCAAATCTACTGAACGCGTCCGAGTCAAGCGCCTCCACCAAAGAACTTGAAGACAAACAAAACGTGGTGCTGCCGGTACGCGAGCGCACAAAGACCGACCAAGCCTCAAGGTGGAGGGCATACACAATTTTTATTGACAAGTCATAGCACAACAACAAGCACAACGATATTACATTCGCACTATCGTATCGTAAAACAGCGGGCACCCTTGGCTAATAAAAAGTCGTGCTACCCAAGAAAGGAGAAAAACAAAGATAGGTAAAAACGTTCGGGGGCGCATCGTACACCGGAGCGTGTGGATCGTAGGGGTCGTATGCCGACTAACTTATCATGGCTGGGTCAGACGCATGCCATGCAGTCGAGGGCGAACAGGGATACAACGTGTTTTCAAGGGGACGTGCAGGAGAAAGGAGGCGGGTGAGAGGGGTTGTTCAGGCGATGAGGTGCCCCCTGAACCCGTCACCACGTCGTGCGGACGAGATGCCGCGGAAGAGTACGACGATGAGCGCGAATGTGATGAGTATCCTGGGCGCCGCCACAGGCAGTCAGTCAATTGCGCGAACGGGGTGCAGCGAGCGAATGAGTAGACGCACCAGATCACCCACGCGAAGCCTTCGAGCGCGTTCAGCTGCCCGCAGTACACGAACAAGCCCTCCGCGTTGTTTTGCCTGGAATACGCGTTAGGATCGGAAAATTGGGGCGCAGACGCGGGCGCGGGGGGTACGTACTTGCAGTTGAGCCCACCACCAAGATTCTCGGTGATCGCAGCCGCACCGGCCGTCCACAATATCCATGTTATGATCAAGCTAGGAAGGCAATCGCCCGTCGTGTCAGTACGCGTGTTGGAGCGCAGGTGCGGCGGGGGACTCACAAGACGCCGTGGCTGGCGACGCTGGTGAGCGCGCTGCCGTTCGGGGAGTGAGTAAAGAGCACGCCGTAGAAGAGGCCGAAGAATATGGTCCAGCAGGAGTCGAAGAGGAGCAGGCGCACGCGGTCGCGCTCGGTCAGGGACTGGTAGTTGTGGTGCGCGTTGAAGCGCGAGGTCAGCCACGCGGAGATGGCGAGCTGGGCACGGTGTTCGGGTGCCGTTAGTTTTTGGCTTTGATGATAGTCGGGGAACTGACCTCGATGATGCTGAAGAAGACTAGGAGACCAAAGACAACTGCGGAGACCGACCGAGTTAGATTTTGGTTGAAATTGCTTTCAATTCAGCGAGATGTGTACTGACTGGGATGGCCCCTGCGAACATGCGTGTCGATTGCCATTGCGTTTGCGTTGTTGCAGTCGTCAAAGTTCGTAGAGAGGGGAAGTGTCTTGGAGCTTGAGAGTGGAACGGAACGATGGGTCGTGTAGAAATACGTTTGCGGGACGCGGGTACACGGAACCAAAAAAACAATATATTTGTGGCACGACCGACGTCGGACCTACGTCATCTGCCGTGCCGCAGACTCGAGTGCAGTAACTCGAGGTCTCCAAGGTTATAATTCTATATTATCTCGAATGCCAGTACCGCTTATCAGCAACAAATGATTCTGGAAAAAGGAAAAAGATAAATGGTGTAAGTACAATATAGATACATGGTCGGAAAGTCAATTCCCGATAACAAAGTCAGTATTACCATCCTCTACGGCGGCGGCACGCATACCCGTGCGCCCACAGCCAATCTGTCGCACTCCAGCCCCACATTCGCAGCCATGAACTGCTCCAGCTTGACCCCATGCGCGCGTGAAATTTCCCAGCAGGTGTCTCCGGCGTGGATGCGATATGGGGTGCTGCTGTCGGGACAAGGCGATGGCGGTGGGCGGCTGGGCACGAAGCTCGGGTAGACGACGAGCCGCCAGACGAGCAGGAGCACGACGCAGATGATGAGGAAGAATGGGAACATCGTGCGATAGGCCGCGCCGTTGCCACCAGTCATGTACCGCGCTGGTGAGCGCTGCATCCGCTTCAGTCAGCGGACATGCTCGGAAGAGGAACGAAGGCATGGCGTACGAGATCCGTCGCGAGCGGTGAATAGCCATCGCCTCGCCTGGGTGCGCCCTCCAGGTCATTGCCCTCCTCCTCCACGCTGCCTATCGGTCCCCGCCCGTCTTCGACTGCCACACGGATAAGGACTCTGTATTCACAAATGCGACTTACACTCACCCTTTGTCATCTCGCCAAACTCGGCGCCCTGTGCACCGCGCCATAAGGAGCCGTCTGAGGTGTCGCGGAAGAAATACTGGCTGGTGTCTGCGTCGTAGCCCACACGTTTCATGCCAGACGGGAGGCGGTACTCGTCCTATACACCGAGATTAGCGTGCGTGGTGAGTGCTAGACAATATTGTGCACGACGCACCTCGTCATACTGCGTCCAGCGGCCCATGGCACTGTTACTGGTGCTTTGCTGTCAGTAGTTGTAGTCTGAGAGTCCAGAGAGACCTCGACGACGGCGGTGGCCCGCTTCCCGTGAGAGCGCTATTTATCTCCGACGGCGATGGCGTTCTCCGCGCCTATCGAGACAGGGGCTTTCGCATCAAATCTTTCATGTCACATCCATTCGAAAGCAGATCTTTGCTTGATCGTGGCATGGCGAGCTGCGCTTTACAATTCCCTCTTAGCTCAGTTGGTAGAGCGCGTCACTAGTAAATATACGACATGACGAGGTCAGTCGTTCAAATCGGCTAGAGGGAATATGTTTTGCTCATTTTCGGTGCCCCGACTGCCTTCTAGGCCTCTTTCGAGCGTTCTGGCACCCCGCCGCGTTCCAGTCAACGACGCCAAAACGACGCGTTCATCTTTTGCTGCGACAGCTTGTCGACTTGCCCTTGACTTGCCTATCGATACCATTTGTTTCCGTGCCTTCCATGCTGCGCAGAGTGCACGTCATTGCTATACCCATGACCGGTCCTAGAACCTGATAGCACCACAACCCTGCCAGCCCTTGGCTCCCCACTGGCGGACGTGATCCCAAAATAAATAACATATGCGTGCTTTCATCTCCGCGCGAGGCCTTATAGCAATCTTTCGCGATAGCAAAACCAAACCATCGATCCGTCCCCCCTTCATACGCACCGCAACCCATCTCCCACCCGCTGCAACAGAAATGGCCGCGAAACCAGTGAACTCAGAGCCGGACGACGTCGTGCACCGCGTCGCGAAGCGCGGATCGGCGATTTTGACCGCGCCCCGGTGGAACAAGGGCACAGCGTTCACCGTGGAGGAGCGCAAGGACTTTCATCTCATCGGCCGACTCCCCTGGCAAGTCAACACGGTGCGTTCTCCCGATTCCCCCACTGCATTGTGACGCGGGCGGCGGCTGATATGGACGTGGACGCGCAGCTCGACCAGCAGTGCGCGCGGGCGTACGACCAGCTGAAGTCGCGCGACTCGGACATCCGGAAGAACTCGTTCTTGCAGAGCATGAAGGACCAGAACCTCGTCCTGTACTACAGCCTGCTCAGCCGCCATCTGCGCGAGCTGATCCCCATCATCTACACCCCGTGCGTATAGCCCGTCCCATACTACCACGATGCACGCCTGACGCGCCTTTCGTTGATAGGACAGAGGTACGCGCGAGCTTTACAAGTCTAACGCGACTTTGTTGTTGAATCATGCTAGGCCGACGCTATTGCAAATTACTCGCATCTGTTCCGGCGCGCCGAGGGACTTTATCTGACTATAGCTGATGCGGACAGTATGGAGGAGGCATTCCTCGAGCAGACGCGCGGGCGTACTATTGATTTGATCGTGTGTTCCGACGCGGAGGCCATCCTCGGGATCGGTGATCAGGGAGTTGGAGTACGTGAATGTTCAATCACCGTCGAGACCCCACTCATCTGGTTGACGTTATAGGGCATCGGTGTATGTTTCCCCTTCAGACAGATGCCGATTGGGAAACTAAACGTATAATCTAGATATCTACGGCGAAAGCAGCCATATACACGTATGCCCTTGACTGAGATGACATGTCCCTCTGCGGTATTAACAGTAAGGCGGCAGGCTGATCGGCGGCATGGATCCTTCAAAGGCGCTCCCAGTCACTCTGGACGTGGGCACCAACAACGAGGACTTGCTCAGTGACGAGCTATACGTCGTACGTCCTGCCGCAATCAGCTGACCAAACGGTGTCCCTCACACGGACTCGTAGGGATGGCCACACCACCGTGTGCGCGGCAAGGAGTACGACGACTTCATCGATAAATTTGTGCAGCTAGTGCGCAAATACCACCCGCACAGTCTCCTGCACTTCGAGGACTTTGGCGTGACCAATGCACAGCGCCTCCTGGAGCAATACCGCGACAAGCATTCGGTGTTCAACGACGATATGTGCGTTATTGATTCTGCGTCCATGTTTTACCACCGCCAGGACACTACTCACGAAAATATAGCCAGGGCACTGGAGCAGTTACGCTCGCAGCAGTCATGTCCGCGATCGGCGTGACCAAGTCGACACTCGCAGAGCAGCGCTTCGTAGTGTACGGCGCAGGCTCCGCAGGCCTCGGCATCACGCGGCAGCTACGGGACGCCATCGTGTCCGCAGACAACGTCGACCGCGCCGCCGCATCGAAGCAGTTCTACCTCATCGACAAGCACGGGCTCATCAAGGCCTCGCTCGGGCCGGACAACATCCGCGCGGACCTCGCGGACTTTGTGCGCCCGGACGACGAGTGGGGCGCCGCGGGCGAGGTTAGCCTGCTCGAGGTCGTGCGCAAGGTGCGCCCGACGGTGCTGATTGGGTGCAGCACGCACGCGGGCGCGTTCAGCGAGGAGGTCGTTAGGGCGATGGCGGAGGGTACGGAGCGCCCGATCATCCTGCCGCTCAGCAATCCGAGCCGGCTGGTCGAGGTCGACCCGAAAGACGCGAACGAGTGGACTGCCGGACGCGCGTTGCTGGCGACGGGAAGCCCCTTCCCTCCCGCGAAGATGCCGAACGGAAAGGACTACATGTACGTGCCACTTCCTCGACAGCGTCCGCGTGTTCTAACCGTGCGATGACCTCAGTATTGCGGAATGTAACAGTAAGAAACGTCTACGTTGGCACCATGACGGTATCAAACTGACGAGAAATGTGTGTAGATGCCCTTATATACCCCGGACTCGGGTTTGGTGCGATGCTCTGCCAGTCGCGACAGATGACGGACACCATGATCATCGCTGGCGCCCGCCGTCTCGCCTCGCTCTCGCCCGCGCTCGCAGACCCAGACGACGCCCTGCTGCCCGATTTCGCCGACGCACCCGCCGTAAACTTCGAGGTCGCCGTCGCGGTCGCCGAGCAAGCCGTGGAGGAAGGGACTGCCGGTGTTGACTGGGGCAAGGACGAGGTGAGAGCGAAGGCCGAAGCGAAGATATGGAGGCCCGTGTATGGGCGGTATGTGTACGACCCGCAGGGCGAGGAGTTTTAGGGGAGGAGATGTCCTGACTCAGTGGGGTCGAAGTAAATGCGCGGACTTCTATGTGTAGCAAGGTGTTCTTGATAGGTGCCATTTGAATGTAATTTGTACTTGCCCAATTTCTGCATCCGTCGAAACAAACCGTCTTCATTGACGCGGGCCCGGATATCCTTGTTGTGACGCGTAGCGAGCTGGGTACTTACATTATTATTGTACGATTATGAATGAGTAGAGTGGTCCTTCGCGATTTGTTTGAGTAGGTATATCTGGCCGAGATTTGCATGCACTCACCTGTGTTACAAAGTACGCCCAAGTCTTGTATCCTACACATCAGACCTGGCGTGCGGTTCTTCAATCAGGTACTGCGATTTGTTGATGGCTTGCGTTTGTGTTTGCGTCTCGCCTTGCCGTTATGGGTTGCGGTACTGTCGGCGCGCTGTTCGTTCTTTGCTGCAACCGAGCTCGAATATCCGTCTGGTGGCGCGGGCAGCCTGCCATTAGGTTGGTTCGTATGTGGCGCCGCTTTCGAAGTGTAATACTTGTCGAAATGCTCCATATCATCTTCCGGCGACATTTTGTGGCGTTTGTGGCGTTTTCCGGGAGCGCCTGAGCCAACGAGTGAGCAGACTGTCTCCCTCCACCTTAGTGTCTGAGGTTCGTTGTGAGAGCATAGGACATCATTTTATCAGTAAGAGGTGTGTTCAGGGCGATGCAACGCAACACTCACGTTGCTCGAGATAGACAAGATGCTTCCCAAGAGGTTGTGCGGATCCTGTGCTGGCCGCTGAGAATTTAGAGTAGAAAATGCTTCCCTGAAGGCCGCGCGGATAGCACGGATACGACCGGCGGATTTTCCGATATCATTCTCGGGATGGACAAGGCACTGCACTGCCAGCTTATCGGGCTGCTTAGAGTCTACCTTGATCCATGGTGCATCAGCCTTGGGAAGAAGGGCGCGCTTGGTAAGGGAGATATATGACGTCGCATACGGAAAATCGTGGCCATAGTAGGACAGGAATCCGAGGAGCAGAGTGCCGAGAGACTCCGACTCCAGTGGGTTAGATATGGATTCTTGCGGGAGGCTGGTAGGATTGAGCTTTATGCGATGAGCAATGAGTACGCGTTCACATATTAGAGGAGATGGATGTGCGCACCTGGAGAAAGCTGGCCACCATGCAGAATACCGTGTAGCTACTAAGACCGCTCGTGGATGCATCGGCCATTCCTCGGTGGACAAGGAACATTTTGAGTACGAGGACGAGCGGACGAAGGGCAGGGAACTCGCGCATATACGCTTTCATGGGTGCGATACCATCAATGCCATCGCCGTTGTTGATGCCGATGTCGACCTTAATCGAGCCTGCAACCCACCGATCAGCCGTTGTTGTCACGCGCCGTAGACGAAAACTCGCCGTATCGAGGTGCAGTCTTGAACTGAACTATGGGCACGCGGGCAAAATGCCTCACGTCAACACGGTCCGTGATAGAGTTGTCTATCAGTATCCTCTGGAGGGCGAACAGCGAACGTTTCGTCTCATTGGGCCTCCGGACGTCTGGAAGCTTCAGCGCCAGGTCTATATCGCTATATGCCCAGAGAGCAGTATGTCGGCGGGGGCTCTATATGTTTAGCGAATTATCCTGACGCACCCATCTGGCAGACACAGATCGACCGCGAGGCTCCCAAAAAGATAGACTTGCGTGTCCGGATGGCGGAATCTACCACTGCTGGTGATGGTCTGTGTGATTTTGTCTATCACAGTAGAGCGGATCCTCTTCTCTTCTTGCGTTGGCATAATATATGACGCAAAGGCAACAATTTCATCGTGCAGTCTGTGCAAAGTGTAGCATTAAATTGCAGATACAGAGTACGGAATCTGCGAAACGCACCTTTGTTCTTTACTCTCGTATCCAGCAGTGCCCAGAGTGGCGCGCCATGGTGGGTCCGTAGATCCTAGCCCCGGCCCGGGACTATCACTGTGTGGCCTCTTGGTTCGTTTCTTCACCTCTGGTAATGCGAGAGGAGTGGTATTTTCGGGGTCGTGCGTGCTGCTTCCTTGAACAAATGTGTTCGGGGAAGGAGATGTCTCTCCCGGGACTGATTGCATGACCGAAGAATGGCTGTATGATTTCGACGACCCAGATTGCATGGCGAGAAACACTCTAGTGCGACGTTGGCAAGTCGTTCGGGCTAGGCTAAGAATCAGACTGCAGCTGCGCATGCCAGTTGCCAGTGCAGTACGTGAGATATATGCCAAGCAGAGAAACGAAAGTGCTAGCGGGACGAATCCAGAGACGGGACTG